CGTTGCAAAATTACAATCGAGTCAATAATCGACTCGCTGCCCGACTGTACAATCGAGATGTTTTTCGATTGTTTCGAGTCGACTGACTTATCACTGACGAGATCGTGTGAACCAGGGTGGCCAATTCGTGGGGAATTCTCGATTTGCAGGGAATTTCAGTTTTCGTGGGAAATCGGGGGATGGACTGTTTTTTGTGGGGAATTTCAGCTCCTTCAATTTTAGTAACGGGTGATTTTTTAAGAGCTTGATACCTTTTTTTTTAAAAAAAACGCATAAAATTTGCAAAATCTCATCGGTTCTTTATTTGAAACGTTAGATTGGTCCATGACATTTACTTTTTGAAGATAATTTCATTTAAATGTTGACCGCGGCTGCGTCTTAGGTGGTCCATTCGGAAAGTCCAATTTTGGGCAACTTTTTCGAGCATTTCGGCCGGAATAGCCCGAATTTCTTCGGAAATGTTGTCTTCCAAAGCTGGAATAGTTGNTAAATGGCCAAAAATTACTGTTGATTTTTTTTGAATTTTCCTTGTTGCATTTGCTTTCATATAACGAATAAACATAATTTACTTCTATATGGAAGAAAACCGCAACCGCTTCAGCCGAAAAATCCTAAAATATACATTACGTCATTTAAAGTACAAAACCGCGCGTCAAGAAAATGCAAAACCTCGTATGAGAGGTTGCCAAAATTTCCACAGGCTAAGATGTTTTGNTGGCCAATTCGTGGGGAATTCTCGATTTGCAGGGAATTTCAGTTTTCGTGGGAAATCGGGGGATGGACTGTTTTTTGTGGGGAATTTCAGCTCCTTCAATTTTAGTAACGGGTGATTTTTTAAGAGCTTGATACCTTTTTTTTTAAAAAAAACGNGATTACGTCATTTAAAGTACAAAACCGCGCGTCAAGAAAATGCAAAACCTCGTATGAGAGGTTGCCAAAATTTCCACAGGCTAGTCAGAGATGTTTTGACCGATTTTTATCGAATGTTAAACGCGACTGGCAATTCGTTGCCACAGTCTGCGACAGAGAACCATCGAGATGTTTTAACAACCGCTGGCCAGCAGCGAGACCGAGATGACTTGGTCGATTGTTAACGAATATGTTAGTTCAGCTTAAGCACGACTTTTTTCGGGTGGCAAATCGTCTACGAGAGAAAACATCGAGAACAATCGAGATATTTTAACAATCGAGACAATCGACTAAAACATCTCGGACTCGCCCATCACTAGTATACACACTGGGCTTAGCCTCCTTAACTACCGTCTTGAATATTTGACAAACCCTACTTCCCCTAAAATATAGCTCGCTTTGAGTTTTTCGAAATTACCGTTACGTTGGTGGAGCCCGTGGTTTTTCCCGATTTCCAACATTTTCAATAAAACGCTTAAGAAGCCTAAGCGCAATGTATATACCAAATTTGGTTGAAAAACACGCCCAAGAAATGAAAAAAAAACTTCTATCAAAATTCTCTAGATCAGTTTCCAGCTCGTATATGTATGCATCTCTCCAAGAAGAAGAATTTACTTTTTTAAGGAACAGAAATACTGAAAAATATCTCTTGTGATATTTCTTGAGAGCTAGAAACTAATCTTTAAATCTCACAAACTTTCGGCAAATTACAATTTTTCGATAAACTCGATTTCTCTCATTCAACCATTTAGCTGCACAACAATGAACCCATTACATGAAAATTTTATGGTTAAAAAAGTTTAAGAACCAATTTAAAAACAACCAGACATTACGAAAAAAGAACGTCGACGTACTTAAATGTACTTTTAATTTGTTTTTCGTTACAGGTTTAAATTATTTAATTAAATTGTCAACAGTGATGTGTGCGCTGAATTCACGATGAAAGTCAAATCAAGTCAAATGGAACAAACAGAGGGTGAGAAAGTAACCAGAACCAGAAGAAAATATGTGAACAACAATAAAACAAAACCAATTTTAAACAACAAATAAGATCACTCGACTGAATTCAAGCACACAAAAACACAAGTATGCATTTCACCTTTGTTTATATGGACTCTTATTGATGGTAAGTGTTGCGGCATGCATTCTTCTTACGAAAAATTACTATTTTTTATAATCAAACTAACGATCACTGATAAGCAATATTTATTTTATTCCTAATTTGGTATGAAAATAATTGCAACAACATAAGAACAATAAGAACCAAATAGTATCAATATTTTCATATAAAAAAAATAAACAAGCATGTTTCAATACACACCATTTATAGAGCGAAAATAAACGTAAATCCATGCATACAAACATATGTACCCGTACATGCATATGCATGTATGTATGTATGCACCACGCGCTTCTTACCATTTTTCAATGACCTCACCCAACAATTCACTTAAGCACACCTCAAATATATAACACGAAATCAATGTGTAAATAAATGCATAAACAAACAAATAGCTGCCTTATGAAATCATTATCAAAATGCACAAGAACACTACGATCAAGATATTGAGTACTCGTACGTAGAGCAGGGTTGCCACTGAAAAACTTTCCTTCCTACCAAGAGCGGGTTCAAAAACCTACCAAAATGGCTTCTTTCCTCCCATTTCTTTTAATCAAGAAAACGACGTTGGACAACATTAAATACATTTATTTTATTTTTTTTTTTTGGAGTAATCCAGTAAACAAGAAGATTAGAATAATAGCTATTATATACATATAACATACACCTACCGATATGTATTTTAGTTGGGTAATCCGTCCGTTTGACTTCTAAACCCTCAAATTTCGAGTAAATTACGAACAAGCCGAAAAAGTGGCCAAATTCGCAGTTTATAGTTTTAATAAAGCCTTCGGAGTAAATGACATGAAACATCGTAGTGAAAATAAAATTCCGTCTTAGATTTTTTTTATCGCTCATTTGCATACATACATGCATGCTACCTAAAGATAAAGATGTGCCTACTCCACTTTTTTTTTTTTTTAATTTGCAAACTCTGCGCACTGCGGTTTTGACATTGATTTCTTCGAGTTGTGGTTAAAAACTTTGATATTCTACGATTTACTGGAAATATGACTAATATGGTTTTCTTTTTAGAACCGCTCTTCTATTGTCATTTAAAATATTTTCACAACCTTGGCATTTCAAAGAAGAATATCTCATTTATAAACCTGCTTTTACAACCATCAATTCAATCACTTGATATTTAGATACACAGTGGATAAGACTTCTTATACGAATACAGAGTTCAGAGAATTTCCATAGAAAATTGGTAGAATTCTGCCTATACCAGTAAGCAACGGGGTTTTTAAATGAATAGAGGGTAAAATTGATTTTGTCAAAATATGGCAAGCCTACTCACAGTGCCGACAAAGTGACTCTTTACAACAAGCCAGAGAAGTTTTCTGTCTTATGAGCAAAGAAATCCACCAAAATTTTAAGCGTCCTACCATCCTACCAACGCGAAAAAATCCTACCAATTTTGGTAGGAAAAGCCCAAAACGGCAACCCTGACGTAGAGTGGCGTACCTGTTAACCGGCGGCCTGTTGCTTGCTGCCTCTACAGTTGCAGGTTATTCATTTGCACAACAACAGTGTGCTATAAAATTGATCGCTCTTGCAGAATGCTATTAGAAATTGTGTAAACATTTACTTAGTTAACAGAATGTTGCCATAACTTTGACTATAAAGTTTTCTTGATATATTGCCTACGATAAATTACTTTTATGAGTGTCATAAATAAACATGCTGGCGGTATTGATTCATTTACCTACTATTTTTAGTGTACTCGCATGTTTTTAATATTTTTGTCGTTGTATTACGATAGTTTAAACTTTAATGAAGTCATGACTGTAGTTTAGAACACGCTGGCAGGTACATTAAAATAATACATACATACCTACATACGTAGTATGTAACAGGTACTAATAAAAAATTAATTTCAAACATTTTTTAAAACACTTTTATGTATCATTTTTTATTACCATTATTAATTCGCCTGTACAGCTTCTATCTTTAATAAAATTTTTAACCAATACGCTTGGTGAAATCGGTATGATTCGTTAGTAAATATGTATGTATTTAGATAGCTTTGATTTTTTATGTACCTTCGTAGTTCTCATCGTAGGTAAAAATTAGAGATGCCGAATGTAATTAAAATTTTTCGATTTATGTACATATTCTAATTGAAACTAGCAAGATTTGACAGCAACGCGGTTTTTGAAGAAAAAATATAAATTTTATTGCGGATTCCAGTAGAAGAATATCCATCCAGTAAAAATAATTTTTTTTCGGAAAAATTTTTTGCTGAAGGCGCCAAACCCCTATAAATTGTGGGGAAGGGATTTTGGTCCCTTCCCGCCCGCAAAATGTTTAAATACCTTCCCGATACCGCCCATCCCGGCCATTTTGAAATCATTACCGTGGGTCCTGCGGGTCCCAATATCCCGCTCCGATCTTTGATATAAACCTCGTGATTTTGGATATTCTTCCTAAATTTTCGTTATTTCGGGATTGTTTCGGAATTTCGAGATTTTTGACTATTTTTCAGCGACTTTTTTACGAGACTTCGGGATTCTTCGTGTTACATCTCCTTTTTTAGGACTCTTCGGGGTTTATCGTGTTTTGCTTTTCGAGATTTTTCCTGTTTCGGGTATCTGGAATATTGCTGCACTTTCGGGACTATGTTAAGACGTTTGGAAACTTTGGGGATTTTTACGGCACTTTTTTTATTTCTTCGGGACTACTCGGGACTTTTCGTAAGATTTGTTCTGGGACTTTTTGAAGTTTCGTAATTTTTTGGGGATTTTGCAAAATTTTCTGGATTATTTCAAGACATTTCAAGAGTATTCGACTACCGGCTATATACTTAACGATAAACTGTTGAGAAATACGTTACTGGACGGCAGGAGGTTTATTTCGGGTTAAAGTCCCGTATTGACGGATATACAGAAAAAACATAAATATTCGTATGCAATATTTAATGGAAATGTGATATAAACCAATTCTTAAAACCGCAAATCTATTAACTTACCTTTAACGACATTTTTTGAAGCTTGCTTGCAATGTGTTTACTCTTAAATAGACCTTTTTCTAGTTCAATCCAGCCTCTTGCGTTTGCTTAACTAATTATTACACAAATTACTCCTTACAAGTAAATTACGGACGTTTTATCACACACGTTATAGGTCACCAGCTCAGTGATCAGCGATCACCATTCACTCACTAATTTTGTTTATGATTATTGCACTGAATCCCAGTTAGTTTGATGGTGGCGGCGGCACCTTTCGCTGAAAAGTTCAACGTTTCTCCTGCTCGTTTTGAGGCAATTCGGTAAGAGCCAATGCAGGAATGAGTAGCTTCGCAAATGCTGGTTAAAATAATTTTTTTACCAATTTATTTTTACTCGCACATATATTTTTTTTCTTTTTCACTTAACTGCACTCGTGTGTGCATTTACTTATAATGAGAACGGGGACATTCACTTGTCCGGCTGAGCCGGCGCTGCAGCCATTCACTCACTCAACGCGCTGGCGTCAGAACTGCAAGAGATAGAAGGAAAAAGGAAAATGAAAATATGTAGATTATAAATAAAATAATGTACGTGCGTAAATATTTGTGCTTAGAATACATATGCTATATACCATGTATATGATTATGTATTTCAAAGTATTATATGCTCGTACATACATACATATGTACAAAAATTATTATATCACCGCTAACAACGGTAACAGGTTTACAAGCGGCGGCCGGCATCAGAAATAATCACACGAACAAAAAAAAACAAATGCAGCAAATGCGCTTCGAAAAGCACAGCTAAAGGAAAATGTGTAGAGAATTGGAGCAGCGCAATGAGTTCGCGCATGCGCACAAACATACACATCTTATACACAGCATTCCAGTTTTCTTAGCCTCATTTTATTATTAAGCGGCTTTTCGTCGTCGCCGCTGACATCGTCGTCTCCATCATCTTCAGGCTGCATTGCCATTTATTGTTTATTCCTGCGCTTGCGGAAAATGTAGCAACAATATGTTTAAGTAAGTATAGCAAGTCAAGCATTGGAAAATGGCAAGCACATTGCTGGCAATCTTGGCAGAAAATATTTTGACTTACAAAATTGCATCGTGCGCGGGTAATTACCAGCTAGTCGAAGCGATTAAATATTAGATACGGACTATGAGCGCATTTAGAGACAAAAAGGGCATACATACAGACATGCATACATACATATGTATGTAGTTACACGAAAGTACAAGAAAATACTGTGTAGCATATAAATTAAGCTTTATTGTAAACAAATCACATTTCCTTGCACTTTCTCCAACTTCTGACGTGCTAAATCTTTCTTCCATCGCCATCACACCTTTTGACAGCTGCTAAATGACTTACGTGTTCGTTTGCCTTATGGTAAGGTAAAAAAGCTTACAGGCACGAAATACTTATTACGAACCACCTGGGAATTGCCTCTTTTAATCGGCTGGTATCGTCATTCTGATGGAAAGTTTATTTCCGATAGTGCAATTTAATTAATTTTTCAAATGCCAACTGATTATGGGAAAATTTTTGGTGATGCACCCGGCGTATATTTTACGAAGAGCTTGCAGAACAGACAAAATTCAAAATGTCGATTTTCAGCTGTTTAGTTCTAAACCAGCTTCAAGTTTAATCCATCCAAAAAACCGTTTACATACATCTTCAGATAATCCGAAATCGGTATTCGGCGAGACTTATCAACCTTGTGTAGTAAAAATGTTATATCTAAGCTTCAATAGTTGAAATCATCACGAAATCGTCTGACAATCAACTGCGCAATGGCTAAAAGGTGAAGTGACAGGAGGGAAAGGAGTTTTCGCACTTTCATCTTAACTCGATGAACTATCCTAACTTTATACTAACTCAGTTTTGTCAAACAAACTATGCTAACTCAAGCGCGCCAAGACTGCATTGAGTTATAACAAAGATAGGATAGTTCATCAAGTTGTGGTAGTCTTTCGCACCGCATTCAAGATAGGTTAGGTTGACGGCTATGAGACGGTTGAGATGCAGTAGCCCGGAGCAATCGACTTAATAATGGGGAAGCAGTTTTAATATTACCCAAAATAGATATTCTTTGGAGTCGCAACCAGTTATAGCACATCACTTTTTCGGCCATCGACAACACTCTGCAAATACTGATTGGCATCTAGAGGCTACGAGTGGACAAAATTCCTGTTGCCTACAATGTCAGAAATATCGGCTTTCATTAAGCAAACGACTTTTTACTGGTAACTTCTAATATTATATTCACATGAATTTAATTGGCATACCCATCTGTTTTGAGTGAAATTAAAGAACAAGTATTTGTACCCCTCACAATCATATATGTAATACATACTTCTATAATGGCAGTAAGCTAACTGCTCAATATTTAAGCATTCCGAAATCAAAGCGAGACAGTCTAGTACCGTTTTAGTTAATGTATTGTGTACATCAGTGATCGGACTTCTACCACATTGTGGTAGATCTACCACTTTTTTGAGCATCTAGCACATCTACCACACAAGGTGTGAAATCTACCACATATTCGCATTTTTGAGTAGTTTTATTTTTGCTCGACACAATTTTCTTAAGTTGAAGAGCAAAAATTGTCCAAAATTAAACACTAACAACAGGCAGAATGGGATTATAAAATAAACTGTAAAATATAAAATTTTCTCAATATATAAATTGCAAAATATATGATTTATAAAAATAATTAATAGCGGAAATGTTAAAAAACGGCGATTTTTGTGAAAGTATTAGCAAATTTCAGTGCATCTAAAGTTTCTAAAGCGTTGTTTAATTTTACTTGAAAATTGTCAAAATCGACAAATCCCAAGTAGCGGTTTCTGGAACGTGCCACATTTGTTCACTACATCGTGATGTGATAAAAAGAAAAACTGTTCAAAATATGTTCGAAAAATATCTCGATATGAAAGCAACAGCTTTACACGTTCAAGGAAATAAATTGCCAAAACTCAACGCCATTTTTAGCAACTTCAATCTTGCACTTTATTATACTAAAATTAATTTTTTTTTTTAGACTCTAATTTAAATGTTTGCAATTTATGTGAAACCTTGCAGAATTTTTTTAATTTTTGTACAAAGTTTGATCCAAAACTGAGATCTACCACACTTTTTTGGAATCTACCACATTTTTTTTTCCAGATTCTACCACACAAATTTTTTTTTTCAAGTCCGATCACTGGTGTACATGAGTGCCGTTTTTGTACATATGTGCTCCTTTTCTTTCGTACGTGTTTATTGATATATCTGTACTGTAATGTTTTCAGACGGTACTAGCTTAGGGCTGACATAAACCTAAATCCTTCCACCAGGACACACTTATCATCCAAATAAAAACGAAAGAATATGGTGCCAATATCTTCCTTATAAACACATTTGCTGTGATTCTGGCCTTGCATTATTTTTAAGTGATATCTGATATTATAAGCAATGTAGTTTTGTGGCATAATCCGTACAGCTAAATGAATTATGATGATGTGGTTGTATCAAACGCTCAAATTTTGAAGTTTTTTAATCATCCAGTCATGTGAAAAATAATAGGGAATCGACATTTTGACAAGTTTTGACAACTCTTCTTTTCTTTATTTAATGTTTATTATTTTTTTATAAAAATCCAGCTCATTATCTAAGAAAAACCATATAAGTCTAGATTTTAAACTCTGTGAAAAAATTCCCCAAGATTGTACAGCAAACGTTTTATTACGAATTTTTAGAAAAATTCTAAGTTTGCAGTTTTATATCTTATTAAATTTTACCTCAATAAGGTGCAAGTGGCCAAAAATTCGCGTTGATTTTTGATATTTTTTGACAATTTTTTCTTTTTTTTTTTTTGTATAGAACAAGTGCAATTTAGTAAAACTGAAGTAAGTAGATTTTTTTTTTTTTTTAATTTTTTTGCGACCGGTCTCCCGCATTTTATTTCATAAGAAATTCATGCTGATATGGGAAAAAGTGCAAAAATCCCTAAGCAAAAAAATTAAAAATCAACGAGTTTTTTTTTAGATGCTTGAAACTTGTACTTCATGAGACTAAGATTGTATGTTGTGGATATAAAAATAGATTGGCGCTTACAAAATATGTTAGTGTTTGGACGAGCTTTTCCGATTTGTGGTGTGTGCCTTGATGTTGTAACACAAAGCGGTCCCAGTTTCACGCCGACCCGATCGGCGATTGTATTTTTATGAGAAGCTGTTTGTTGTTTGTTTGATGGCAGAAATACACTCGGAGGTTTGCCTTTGCCTGCCGAGGGACGACCGCTATCAGAAAAAGCTTTTTTATTTTTTTTTTATTATTTGATGTTGGGATGAACCGGGCTTGAACCCAGGCCCTGCGGAATGGTAGCGCGCCCTGCTAACCACTACATCATAGCGGCCGCTGTGATGATTCAGCTTAGAAAGCTCGAAATTTTGATGGAAATTAGATGAATTTTCCTAAATTTTGTATAAAGTTTAAAACTATGATTTACATGGTTTTGGCTAAAGTTTAGACAATATTTTTATATAAAAACAACAAAACAAAAACAAAAACAAAAATAACGGGAAAAACGTTGTGATTATTAAAAAAAAAATTAAAAAGTTAACACTTGTGTAAATCTCTATACTTTGTATGGAAGAAAATGCCTGACACCGTCAGCAGCAAAGAAAAAATTATTAAAAATAATCAACGCGATTTATTAGCCACGAATCTGCCAAAAGTTAACGGGCATCTGCATTGACCTTCAATAAAAAACCAGGACAATTTAGGTGTGGACCAGGACACCAGGACAATTTTCTAAAACCAGGATAAATACTAAAGAACCAGGACGTCTGGCAGCCCCATACTAGCTCTTACTGCCAATATTACATACATTACATACATATATTACATACATATATGTTTGAAGTGATCTGAAGGTAGACAAGCAATTTAACCCCCCAACACCCGACAATTCAACAATCTAGCCAGTAATTTTTAAGCAAAAAACTAAACCACTTGTTCCAAAAATAGGTATAACGCATTAATCAAGTCTAATAATGTTATCAAATGTTGTTCACCTTTTGAGAAAAGCATCGTGTTATTTGTACTTTTTGAGTTTTTTAGGCGAAATAATTTTTTTCCAAATTATAAAAGTGCGACAATAAATTCTACACATAAAAAAAAAATTAATATATTCTCGAAACTATGGGAAAATTATAGTAAAACTGCGAACTTAGTTTTTCTCTCCGATGTCAGGATTTTTATAAAACGACTTTGAAATTTAAAAATTATGATTATTTCAAAAAATTATACAAACAAAATTCGTTGCAATGTAGGATAACATTAAGGGTATTATATAAGAGAAAAAAATTCTGCAGAATTATAACAGAATAAATTTTTTGGTGAATGTATTTACAAATTTTGTGCTTAAACATCATTAAAAATTTGCCTTTTTTTTAATATTGTGTGAGGACTAATTTACGCATGACCACATCATCGAATTTCGTCTGCAAACTTTATTAACTTAAAAAGATAGAA